ATATGTTTAATCTTTAAACATTCCATTTAATACATCTAATCATCTAGTCCTTTAACTCTTATTCAAAACATTTTTTATCCATTATAATTTTCTTAAATTCAATTACATTTAAGTATCTAAAACATTTCCTTTATCTAAGTCATTTCAATTTTTTTATATTACTCATATCAAGAAAGAGAACAAAAAAGGGAAAAAAGGATACTATATTATTTAGGGAATTCATCCCTCTTAGAATGACATTTATATTCCAAAACTTTTCTATTTCTTTAACCATATTCAAACAAATGTTTCTTTTTTAAGTATTCTCTCTGATAATTCCCATCATCTATTTTCTTGGTTTCCACTTTAGTCTTTTTCCTTTGCCCAGTATCTTTCTTAATCAATGTATTTTGCTGAATCAAAAAGTTTTTCCGTAAGTTTGTAAATGTTGCTGTAGATGTAAAAAGTAAATCAGGTGAAATGTCTTTGTACAGGGCTTCTGCCTTTCCATGTTTGTTGAAAATCTTTTTCTTTTTCTTTCTTTCCACTTCTCTTATCATTTCCTTTCTCTCCGATGTTCCTGACATCTCTACAGTCCATTTTATCCAATCTATTTTCTTGTCCTCAGATTTATTTTGTAGTCATAAGGGATAAGTTGTTTTTTCCAATTCTTGTGAATTTTTTCCCACTAGGATTAAATCATGTTTCCTTGTTTTGTTAAGTTCCATTTTTAAGTCTCTATTCTCAATTCTATATCCATTTATCTGTTTTATCTGCTCCTTCTCTGTTGTTGTTTTCTGGGAATTTTTTTGTTGTAGAGTTAACTTAGAAATAGATTGATTTATATTTTCAAAGTTATTTTGGATTTCTTTGTGGTTTAAAGTCATTGTTGTTTGAATTAGTTGCAGTATACTATATATCTCCTCCTGTGAAGTATTTATGTTTTCTTAATATGTTCTTTCTACATGTCTCTGATTCATGATGGCTAAGAATTTGAGTTTTTCTCTTCCTTTCTTTTCTCTGCAAATAACTTTAGAATCCCAATTAAATAGATATTTGTAATCCAAATAGTTCAGAAAAGATTTTTTTCTAAAATTTATAATTCTCTCTTTGTCTACAGCCCAGATTATTGTCTTTTTTTTCACAGCTGTTCTTTATTGTTAAAACTTTGAAGGCCACATTAGCTTTTTCCAGGTTTTGCCAAGTCTTATATTAAAGTTATAGCTGTCATAGTTTTCATCCACCACTAGGTGTCAGCAACTATTTGTTTTTCAATTTCTAAAATGAACAATTATCTTTAAAATGAGAGTCTTAACCATTCAAACAATTTTAGATTTATCCAGATTTAAGTTTTAAATTTATTTCATTTCCATATATTTTGATCCTTCATAAAAAGATTAATTCACTGCTTCGGTTAGTATAAGGGTGGGGTGGAAATCCCCCTCCTTCTCTTTTGGGGGTATTTTGCTTATTGGGGATCTTTTCCAGGAAATTAAATGAAGAATAGAAAAGAGAAGATCGAATTCCTCACCCAGTTTCAAGCATGCTGTTCACAGTTGTGCTGGTTAGTGCTTTTGGACTTCGGTTGCTAGTAGCTTGGGCTGGTCGATGCAATACGGCCAGCCTTTCTCCTGTCGGGTTAGAAGGCTTTCCCCAAGTCGAACGGAATGGATGCCACCGTTCCAGAGTCGCTGGAGCACCCTTCTTTCTTCGTTGCCTCTCCGGGGTGACTTAGACCCATTTAGGGTCCCCAGTCGCGGGGGTGCAGAGAATCCGCAAGCCCGCGACCGGTCATTACTCCGCAAAACCAGAAATCCTATAGTGCAATTTCTTACTATTTCAAAATCATAAAATATTTCACTAAATAATTTAGGACAGGGAAAAATCTGTGACCCTCCCAAAAGTTGTGACCAGCATGAGAAGGCTGGTCGCAGCAGCATCAAACTCTGCAGTGTATCTTTTCTTGTCAATGCTATTCTCAGGAATAACTGTGAGATCCTGAAGCAGGCAGTACCAGGCAACTGAAAGTGAATGCCTGTTTTTATTCCCACTAGGATTTTAAATCCTGCTTACAAGATCAGACATGCTGGAACATGTGTAAAATTTTTTTCCCCCTCTAGGAACAGTTCTGCTTTCTGATAAAAAGAAAAGAGTAATAACAAAAACAATACTAGGCTACCAATTATACAAGGATTTTTTTTTTTGTTTCATGGAAATGAAAGTCACCCAAAGTAGCTCCAAGGAGAGATGGGCAGCATATAAATTAAACAAACAAACAAATAAATAAATCTGACTGCTAAGCAACCAATACATAATTAATTCTATGTATATATTAATGTTCTCACACAACCTTTCCCAATCTGGTATCTAAAAGTCAACTATGATAATTTCCACTAGTACGTTCAAGTTCAGCACTGGAAAAATATCATATTGGATTATGCTATTATAAATTGTTTCATAGTACACAGGCACCCTTAGGTGTCCTCTAAATGTGTTTCATTTCAATTCCCAAAATTTTCAGCAATAGTTGTACTGGTTATGGAATTCTGGGTGCTGAAATCTGTACATCTCAATATTTAATGATACATAAAAGATAAATATTTCCTAAAATACTCCAATAGAATCTGAATAAAATGGTCGGCATCGTACTAAGGAACCAGTGAGCAATATTGCAACCAGCTCCCAAAAGATATTAAAACTACCTAAGGCTAGTCCAATAATGCTAGTAGATTATGTAATCTGACTACCGTATTTATTGGCGTATAACACGCACCGGCGTATAACACGCACCTTCATTTTAAGGGAAATTTCAGGAAAAAAACTTAAAGGTGGGGCCGGGCGGCAGAGAGCTTGGCGGCAGCGGCAGCAGGAGGATGGGGAAGGGGCGTGGCTGCCCGGGCCAAGGTGGGGCCGGGTGGCGAAGGGCCGCGGCTGCCTGGGCCGAGATGGGGCCGGGCGGCGGAGAGCTTGGTGGCAGCGGCAGCAGGACGGTGAAGGGTCGCGGCTGCCTGGGCCAAGGTGGTGCCGGGCGGCGAAGGGGCGCGGCTGCCCGGGCTGAGGTAGGGCCGGGCGGCGGAGAGCTTTGCAGCGGTGGCAGCAGCAGCAGGACGGGGAAGGGGCACGGCTGCCCGGGCCAAGGTGGGGCCGGGCGGCGAAGGGGCGCGGCTGCCCGGGCCGAGG